AGTTTACTTTAAACCCCCAAAACCCCCCACCATTTGGTGGGGGGAAATTTGGGGATTTTAATTCCTTTTATTTTAAAGGGGGCCAAGTCTGGACAACACTGAACTATGGGGTTAGCAATAGTTCCTGCCATTAGCTTTCAGTTTAAAAGACAAGACACACAAAGAAAAAAGATAGGGAGAGGTGGGAAAAAATAAAATTAAAATAATCACAATATCACTGTTATGATAGTGGCCTGAGTTGGGGAAAGCATGGCATCTTTCAAATTTCCCAGAAGTGGCTCTTATGGTAGGGGATATTTAAATGCATAATAAATGCATAATCTAAAACAATCTTAATGGCGACAGATGAACAGTAGGTCCGGAGGTCAGACGATTAACCTAATCTGCATTTAAAAAAACAAATGTAGCAGTTTCAGATGGCATTTATTATTGGGAGAAAGGAATAATTTGTCTTCTAAATTAGGTACCTTCTGGATGTGTTAGAACTGTGTGGCAGCAAAATGGTTAAAGTGTTGGGTTGGATCTAGGTTCAAATTCCCACTTGTCCATAGAGTTCACTGGCTGATTTGGGCATGTCACACTCTCAGCCCAACCTATACTAAATTGCTGTTCTGGGGATAAAACTAGGATAACTTTCCACCCTCCTATATACTGTTGTAAATTCTGAGAGGAAAGATAGAATATAGATGTGATAAATTAAATATTCTCTACCCCACCCCACCCCTCTTCCCAACCAGTGTGGCCAAGGCTGGGAATTCTGAGAATTGGCTGCCTGGGAATTTTGAAAGTTGTGGTCCAACACATCAGGGGTGTGCCAGGTTAGACAATATTGTTCAAATAGCACAGTGTTGTCCAAACTTGGCCACTTTAAGATGAGTGGACTTCAACTCCCAGAATTCCCCAGCCAGCCATGTGTTATTGTCCACTCATCTTAAAGTGGCCAAGTTTGGACAACACTGAAATAGCAAGTGCAATTTATGTGGTAGATTGTTAAGGTTTTGGTCCATAGGAGCATATCTACATTGCTTTATTTATTTGTTTATTTGATTTATATAACTGCCCAACTCACACATTGTGACTCTGGGCAGGTAACGTAGGATTAAAACCAAAACCAGAACCAACAATAAAGACGAGAACACAGGAAAAACCAAAGGCAACCCACAACATTACTTGTAATTCAATATTTCAGATGTTATTCATGCACAGTTTTAAAGTAAAATCCAGGCACAAGTAAAATGTTCAGTAATATTGAGCATATCAAGTGTAACTGTCTCTTGCCATTTTAATCTGAGCCTGCCTAGTCATTTAGGAAGGTATCCTTTGATTCCTTGAACTATTATTCAGTCTCCATTGCAGCCCCTCATTCTGCTCTGTGTAGATGGAACATTCACCTGTTCTTGTAGAGTTGGAATAGGCCAGAAGACTAAGCCCAGCTCTCGGTCCCAATGCAGGATTCTTTCCTACTGCAGACTCTGGCACATTCTTTGTAATACATATAATGCTAGAATTATGACATAAGCAGTGAACGGGAGTGAGCAAAGTGCCTCCTATAAAAATGTCTACAGCATAGGTGAGCTTCAGATGGTCCTTTTGACTAAGCCAAAATAGTCTTTGTGGGAAAGACCAAAGGAAAGGCATATTTCTTCACAACCGAGAATAAGATAACCTGAGACTATGAGATGTGGCCTTGCTATGTGGGAACTGGATTGTGCTTACTGTTGTATTGCAACAATGGGATTTAATGAAAAACTAGTAGCAGTTTTTGTGTGTAACTTATAGTGTCCTTTTAAAGTATCCCCAGGAGAAAAATTGGTTTGGATTGGAACATAAGTTATTTTCTATATCAAATTATTAATTTATCTAACCAGGGAGTTCTCTTGGATTTTAGGCAGAAAGCTCATCCCTATCACTGCCTATCTGATATTTTTTAAGGTGCAGATGCCAAAAACTGAACTTGGGATCTGTTGCATACAAAGAAAGGGTCTGATGTATGGTCCCTCCTCAATGTTCTCATCTCCAGTTTAAAATTCCTAATGTACCAAATATGTCCAGTCATCTTTTCCAGACATCAATAAAGGTAAAAAGAAGCTCCCTTATTCCAGATCAGGCCTATTGATTTATTTAGTCCATTATTGCCTACTTTTATTAGAGGTAGTTGTCAGGCAGGAGTTTTGTATGTCATTTGCCACTTGATCTTTTTAAGTAGAGATATCAGATATTGACTCTTGGTCTGATTGCATGCAATGCAAGCCCCCTGCTAGTAGCCTATGAATGTTCTCCAGGTATAGCAGCAAGTCCAGTTGTCTATCCAGTTTTTCCTTGCCTTCCAAATCCCTCCTAAGAAATCTGGGCCTTTTGGTGACTCTCCAAATTATAACTAATCTAAGGGTATGTGTAAATTAAAATTGCATTTAAAAATATGGTGTCAGATATTTATTATTATCCTCTGTCCCTCCCCAGTTATACTGTGCCCCTGAAGAATAAGCCACTACCTCCTATTTTGCTCTTCAAAGCCCTATGCATATTGATGATGCTGTAAAAATGATAGATGGTGGCAGTCCTGGCCTTTTTTAGTTAGATCTGAGCTTGAAATTGCTTTCATATTTGCTCTGGGAAGGCATTAATTTACAGGCCATGGCAGAACTATTCCTAATCTTCTTTTGAGTGAACTAAACAAGTTAAAATTGGGGTGGGGCATCTTTTCATGTTAGCTATATCTCCCAGAAATGTAGGATGAATTCTGAGGGTACATTTATATGTACATATCTGCTATGAAATATATTTTTTATTTTGTTTATTTATATATCAAATTTGTCACTACCCATCTCATTAAAAACCAACTGAGCAGTTTACAAAGCAGTTAAAGTCAGTTAAAATTACAATAGAAAATAATGCTAAATAAATAGAAAATAAATATAATCCAAGGATAGATGTTAAAATTGGCAGTAACCCAGGGAGTGTCATCAAGATGCCAGCCACCCCCAGGATTGGATAAGATTCTTGTCACCCCACACAAAGCTGGCAGAGCCAGGTCTTTAATCCTTTCTGGAAAGCTGGGAGGGTAGGGCCCTGCTGCAGCTCTGGGGAAAGGGTGGGGGCAACGGCAGAGAAGGCTCTCCTGGGCCCTGCCAGCTGACATTCTCTTGCTGATGGGGTCCACAACATGCCCTCTCTGCCTGACCAGATGGGATGGGTTGATGGGGGTGAACACTTTGAATTGGACCCGGAAGCAAGCTGGGACCCAATGCAGCTCCCGCAGTAAAGGTGTTTTATGTGCCATTCTTGGGGCACCTAAGATTGTCCACATGGCCACATTTTGAACCAGCTGTAGCTTCTGGATACTCTTCAAGGGCAGCCCCATGTAAAGCACATTGCAGTAGTCTAACTGAGAGATGACCAGGGCATGAGTCACTGACCGGAGAGCCTCCTGAATCCAGGAAAGGGTATAACTGGTGCACCACACAAAGTTGGGCAAAGACCCTCCTGGCCCTGACTGCCACCTGCTCCTCAAGTAGGAGTTGTGAGTTCAGGAGGACCCCCAGATTATGTACCAGGTCTGTCCAGGGCAGTGAAACCCCATCCAAAACCAAAGATGATACATCCTCAGATACAGGGGCTTCCAATCCATATAGGTTATCCTGATTATTTCAGCATTTACCCTTCTTTGTCCTTAAAGAACAAACATGCCAGCTTAACAATATGATACCATCTGTTATTATTTGCATATAGTACAATTTAAGAATGAGTTCTGTTCCCGAGGTCTGTCCTTAAGTCGAATTTGTATGTAAACCAGAATAGTATTATTGTATAATACCGTATAAATAGTATTGTGCAATGAACTCGAACCATTGTGTATTTAACTTGAATAATTGTGTATTTAATTTGAATTTTGCTACAATAGGCTCCATTCTTAACTATGGGTCATCCTTAAACTGGGCGTTCTTAAGCCAGGGATTACCTGTATTTGAATTCACAATCATCTTAATTATTTTATCTCAATAACACAATCAGATAAACTGGTATTATTGTTCCATATTGCAGATGAAAGTTACCTGAGATTATTTCTTTTATGGTAAAGTCAAAATTTGAAACACAGACTTCATGGTTCTTGATCACAATGCTACATTAGCTTGAACAACCGAGGCTAAAGTAGAATAAAGCTATGGTTAAAGAAACACACACTCATTCCTGTACATTCATTAATCTCTTCAGCTTGTGACTATATAAAAGAGAGAAAAAAACCTTAAGAATCTCATGTTATAGTATTGATTATTTTAACATGATGGAGTATTGTGTGCTGTAGTTTTTGTGTATTGCACTTGTATGTATATTCAGCTTGCAGAGGAATGCTTGGTTATTTTTCCCCTTTGGTTGAAATACAAATAGGTAGTGCCTTTTTATAGTAGCCCCTAAGCTCACTTTGATGACACTGTTGAATTTTGTGGCATGATTTCCAAAAATTGGAGGCATGAATTTGTTACCATTTTGAGATGGGAAATGCATGGAAATTTGAAAGCATAAACCTAAAATAAGCTTAATGCTGTTAAAAAGCATAATTCCCACTCAAGCAGAAAAGAAGAAAGATCTCAACCCCACCTATGTGATGTAGCCCATCCATTTTATTTTAGTATGGCTTTTCTTTTACTTTGCTACTATCAAACATTGTCCATGGTGATCTAGGATGTGGGTTTAACTAGCTTACCTTCTGTCTTCTTTCTAGCTGCTTTCAGTGGCCTTAGAGTTGCTCCAAATTAAATGCAACCCTGAATTTCCTCTGGAGATTGGTAGATACTTCAGATGAATCCCAGGTTATGTTACATTTGAAGCAACTGAAAAGCAGGTAGGGATATAAAAGAGTCAGATGCCAAATCCCCAACTTAAACAATGTTTTCACCCAAGATACTTGACAGAATTTATTAGATCACATCTTGGTTACTTGGAGTTCACCTTGAGCATTGAACACATCTACTGCTTCCTCTGTATGCTGGATGTCTTAACTGTGAACAAATCTATTTAAAACTGTTTAGAAGTCTTTCTGAAACCACTATTCTGCTGCCTTCCTCAAACTGGTTGCCACTAATCATGTTGGATAACAATTTCCACCATCCCAAGTCACCATCCCAAGTCAGTGTTGGCTAAAAATGATGGGAGTTGAGTTTAGTACAGCTGGAGGAAATGAAACTGGAGAACACATGGCTAATCTTCTCTATTTTCAATCTAATTTTTTAAAAAAGAGATTTTGAATATGTGCCCATTAAGCACTTGTTTTGCAAACCCACAAAGCCATCCTTGATCTATCATTAAATTCAGAAATAGGGCATATATTGTGAAGAGAACTCACCTATACTAAAATGTACTCCTTTTTATTAAAGTATTTTATTGACTGAACCATTAATAAAGTTTTATGTAGGACTTAATTTTGATTAACTTCTCAATCAAAACGAAGCCCTACATAAATTTATTTACTTGTTTCTCTAGTGTTAAAATCAATGTAGTGCTGTGATAGTCCTTATTTGTTCCATATTTCAGGTAGATCAGTTGAAATGCAAGATCACTAGTATGGAGGAAGAGTGCTCCTTATTGAAGAAGCAAGCATTAATGGTTCCTCAGCGAGAGGTGGAGGATCATGGATTTATTGACAACATTTCTGAATTGCAAGCTGAGAACCAGAGGCTAATTGCTTCACTTCAGGAGCTGCAGAATGTAATGCAGGTACATTCTGAAAAATGTGGACTTAGTCTATAGAAACATTTTCTACTATGAATCTTCTCCTACATGGGATCCTCTTTGTGTTTAAACTGGGACTGCATCTGAAATGGCATCCTTGATCTATGAAGCCTAATAATTTAGTTGTAGAGGAACCCAAACATGGTAACTCAGGGAAGCGGGTGCTGCTAGACCCTCCCAGGTTCTCCATGGTATAGTCCAGACTTCCCAACTGGTGCCTTTGACAAGTTTTGGACTTCACATAATTCTTCAAGCAGCAGGGCTAAATAGGCTTGGAGTAATTTGGGTATTGTATTATACATTTAGAAACCAGATGTCAGGGAAGGCAGCTGAGGACTTGAAAGGAAGCCTATTTGTAATGGAATAATTTCATCTGCATATAATTAAAATGTCTGTTTTAGAATTTCATCTTGGGCCTGTGACTGGGTTGCTACTTCCCACTAATATTACTTGTTTTAGCTATGGTTTGTTTAATAAACAACAAGTAAACAATTGATTCATATATCACACTAAGTCATAAACAATGCTTTGCAAGCCACAGTGGTTATGTTCACAAAATAACCTATGCCAAAACAAAACAAATCACATGCTTTGGTGTGATGTATAAATCCAGTCTGTTGCTACCAGGACAGTTATTTTTTTTCTTAAAACCAAGGGATAAAGACTTTACTATTACTATTTTTCTACTTCTATTACCACTGTTATTCCAGTTGCCAGTGGAATCTAAGTGTACAGACGTAGTCCAGGGCAATTAAAGGGCATCTGATTGGCAAAGGCTAAACTAGCTATATGTGTGATTTTATGCGCAGCCCTTAAACAATTAAAGGGTGAATGCCAGCAAGGCTATTCCTTCCTTTCCTGCAGTGCCTTGTATTTTTTGTGAATCACTGTCTTTGTTCCCTTCTAAATTACCTCATCACAGCATTGACAAATGTTGCTTCCCCTTGACTGGCTTCAGAACAGAGTAGTTTTTATAATAAGTGTAAGCCTTGCCACTCCAGCTAGACACAGAATGTATTACATGGGAGATGTGTTCATTCTTGCACTGGTGCTGGATCAGAACCTGAGTTGGTAGAGTACTAAAAATAAAATATATATTTAAAAAGAGGGCCTCTAGCATTGGCTTAGATGCTGCTAAAATATCAGTGGGTGGTTTGAACAGCTGTGACTCTCAGCTGTTTGGGAGACGTAAACTGACTGTTATATCTGGGTTATCAAAGAACCCCTATTTTTACCCAAGAATATATGAATATATATAGTTTTGAAGTTTTCCTTGAATATATGATTTAAAACTAACCTGCATTATGGAATTCTAATTATTTGGTCATTTAGATAAGTTTATCTCATAATGTACAATTTATTCTAATTTGTTTTAATTTTGCTGAATGTTACGTAAAGATATTTTGGTTTGAGATTCTTCTTTTTTCCCCAAATCCACTTAGGTTTTAACCAGGAAGAATATATAGTTTTTAAGAAAAAAAAGTATTGGTGAGGAAGAAGCATATGAATGCAATCAGTTATATAAATCTATTACATGCTCAGCAAAGTATTGCCATTTCCATTATACTCTGTAATTTTTATCTAGAGTGGTTTAAGAACTGGTCCCAGAAAGCATGAAATTGTAAGGTTCTTATCTTGGAAGACATGAACCCATCTCCTCATGTTCATAATGATCCATAAAACATTGCTTAGCTATGATATTTTGACTATACGGTTTCAATCTGACACAGCTTGACTCTTTAGAATAAGTATTTTTCACTGCTTAGATCCCCTCATATCATTCCTCTAAATATAATCAAAACCATAGGTTTGGCTGTACATTATTGGCTTTGACAGCTACTGTGGCTTACTGGTTTAATGCAGACAGATGCAGAGTCAGTCTGTGGAAGCGCCATCAGGGCTGACCCTACTACTAGGGATACTGAGACAAGTATCTTGGGCTGCAAAAAGGAAGCCAATATGCTGTGGAATATATTTCTACTGCGAAGGAAGAGAGAGATCTGCTTGTGTGGTTTTCTGCTTTAGAAAGCAGTAACTTGACTGACCTTAGAATCTATGGGTCTTGATTTTGCAGGGAGGAGCATCTTTCATTGCTCTATCTCAGGGTGCAGAATATCTTGGGCTGCTCTTGCTGGGAGTGAAAAGGCTATTAAACTAGATCAACCTTATAGTCTCAAATAGGTTTAACAGTCACTCTTCCCTTAGGAACTAAGGGGCCAGACTTGCTAATGGGGAGTTCTCAGAATTCCTACTAGACTAGAGGATTCAGAATTATTTAGAAGAAGCCATGAACTTTAAAATGACATGATGCTGCTATGACATTTGTTGCATGAATACACCTTTCATTTTTGGTGGTAGTGAAGATATATAGATATAGAATCAGTTAACCTTTCTCAAAATAAGGCCTTCCAGTGCTAACTGAGGATGAAGGGTGTTGAACACATCTGGAGGGTGTCAAGTAGGCAAAGACTAAAATAGACAGAATGCTCTACTCTGGAGTTCCTGCTGGAGATATTTTAAAATATTCCACTATACAAGCATGGCAATTTCTGTTCTTTACTCCAAAAGCCTTAATTATCCTGAAATCATTATATTCTAGCAGATGAGTGACTTTGCTACTTTACTGTTTAGAAAGCAAGGGAAGACCAGGTTCCGGGCTCTGAGAGGGTCCTTCTAGACATTCTGGAGCATGATTGGAAGGAAGCACAAGCAGATCGACAGGAACTGTGCCAGAAACTCAACTCCTTACAAAATGAGCTGCAGTGGGCTGAAGAGCTGAGAGATAAGGTAAGATGTTCTAATGCTAACCCCAGACATTTAAGCTTGGAGATACTTTGGAACAGCCATGAAATCCTTGTTCCAGACATTAATGAGCAGGGAATCTCTGCTTCATGGGCTAAAGGCAGACTACCAGTCAAGATAATTTTGGACTTTATCCAGGTCACTGATAGCTCTTTGTTCTGCCCTGTTGCCAAACCACAAAACTGATGGAGGGAATCTTTTGTAAATTGAGACCAGACGATGGAGAATGATGATACTATCCCACCCTCGATGCCTACTGAATAGGTATACAAAAAGAAAAATAAGAGTCACATTCTAACATCATTCATTTCTGGATCTTGCTACTGCTAGAAGGAACACCTGCATAGATGATCATTAAGGCAATTTGAACCTCAGCAGGAAAAAGCCTTCCACCCTTCTTTTAATGTCTTTTAAACATCAGGTACATGCTTTCTACTCTGGGTACCCTAAGTTCAGTCCCATTATCCTAAGCTATGCATGATAAGTGAAAGTAGGGTGCAAGTGATGTGAAACATATGCACGTGCACTTCCTTCCTATTTCATTATATGACTTTCCCCATGTAATTATGTTCTGAACCCTGGCATTTGAAAACAGATTGCAGGCCGCCAGCTGCCTTTGTTTAAGACCTAAACATTTACTTGGAAAATAATCTATCTCTGCAATTTCTCTCTCAGTACCTGCAAGACATGGAGGATTTGCAGTTGAAATTCCAGACTCTGCAGAAGAACTGTGAACTGTATAAGCACAGGATGAACACCGTGCTGGCTCAGCTAGAGGAGATTGAGAAGGAAAGAGATCAGGTAAATTGCTTCCTCTCTGGAATATTTCCTTAGTTTATAATTATGGGCTGCAGTTAAGATTAAACCATGTGGTAATAATATTCTTGCTACCCCCATATCATGCCACTCAAAGTAACAGAAAAATAGAGAAACCATGTAGGAATGATAAGATGCAGTGGAAGAATGATGCTTGCTTTATGTTTCCAACCCAGCCTGTTTCCCAATGTGGTTCTTCATAGATACCCATGTAATATGATTTCAGATCCTAGAGAAGATAGAAGCATGTAGACAAAGAGAAGTCTGTCAGGATGGAGTTTATTTATACCAGTTCCACACTGCTTGGATTATTTTTTATTGAATGTGCTGCTGTTCCATTGCCGTGGCTCTGAAAGTAATTGTATACTGACTGAATTATATGTTAATGCATTCTCATTTCTCTGTATTTCAAATAGCTATCTTACTGTAATTTTATTATTAATCTGGAAGTTCTTTGTTCAGAAAGGCCTGGTGAATGCCAGAAGGGGCTGAAGAAGACTTTACTAAACTGGCATTTTATCTTTTTGATTGTGGATACTAAAAACAGTACAAATTATGCAGTAGTGTGCAAAAACGGGTATAATATATTTAGGAGAAAAGAAAAGCATATGCTCTGCACAGTTCTGCCTATAATTTCATCCACCAGCTCCCCTTCTTCACTGTTTCTTTTCAGGCCATTCAAAGCCGAGATAGCATTCAGCTCCAGTATTCCCAAAGCCTCATTGAGAAGGACCAGTATCGTAAACGCGTTCGGACTTTGGAGGAAGAGAGGGATGACTTGCTGAGCAAACTCACACAGGCTGAGGGCAAGATTGGCACACTAGAGGGACAGTTGCAGCGATGCTTGTGTAACAGGGGCCTTGCCAAGAAGGTGTGTTTGGAGGAAAAAAGGAGCTTCTGGCAGAAGGACAAGAAGAAGGCCAATGTCTTGCTGGGAAGGGAAGAGAGGCTAGAATTTAATGGAATGGAGTTAAGCTTGCTAGAGAGGAGGAGGGCACATGTGAGCGGCGATGTAAGCTACCCTCCTTGTCCTCATTCTCTAGATAGCTGCAAGATTGAGAAATCAAAACACAAGATGCACATGTAAAAAAATAGCCATATCCCACCATCCACCAAGAATGCAAAAACCAAAAAAGGGCAGCTAGTTATTCCAATCTTAAACTATATTAAAGTCTGTGGCATCCAAACTGCCCCAAATTCTTTTTCAAGCCCTTGATGTTTCATCAAATTGAAACAGAAACAAATCCCATTGCGTACATAGGATTTTAGCCTGATATTAAGAACTCAAACAAATTCTGGTACTGCAAAAGTGAAATTTTCCTCTGAAATGATTGCGTCAGTCTGAATGACTCTTAAGATCAGAGAAGAAATGGTCTTTTTTACTCTCCATAGAATCATTGTACTAAATGGAGTAATACAAAGCGTTCTTGTCTGAGAATTAAGCTGTGTGTGTGTGTCTGTATGTGAATGAATCTTTAGGGATTAGTTACTTTACTGAGGTATCTTTCATTCATTCTCTCTTTTTCTCTCCTCCTGCCCCCCAAGATATGTTCCTCTTCCCATTCACTCTACAGCAGCGCTTGGAGCGTAATAGAGAAGCCTTTGTCCCCGGAGGATGGGATTGTAGATTCACCAGACATCTTGGACATCGTGTTCCCTAGAGACTCTGTAGGGCCAGATGTGGTAAGAAGAGATTGTAGAAGCCGTGAGCTCATAAAGCACATGTCTTAAATGCTGAAAGACCTCACTTCAGTGATAGCTCTGAGGACAAAGAATTAGGTGGCACAGAATAGTTACTCCTGACATTTCTGAGGTATAACTTTGAAAGCCTGTCCAATAGTGAGAGATGTTGAAAGTTGTAGTTCAGCAAAATGTGGAGGACTATCTTGCGGTGGCTATGAATGAAGGAAGACCGCTATTTGTGAGAGCTGATGCTTTTTGGAGGAAAGAGCTGATCTGGTATAAGATAGTTTTACATGTTCTTGGAAACTGTCGCTATTTTTCTGCTCAGGTGGCAGAAACTGATATCCGAAGCTGAAAATATGCTTAGCTAGGGCAAAGCTGAGGCTATAAACCAGACTTCTGCAACTTACTACCCTCAAGTTGTATTGGGAATCTTGGATGTTAGAGTCCCAAAACTTCTAGAGGGTTTTAAATTGGGAGTTACAATCCCAGGATATCTGTGGAAGACTGCCAATAAGCCTCTTTTATGACTTTTGATGAGAACAGAAAAAATCCCTGTTCTCAGAACAAACAAAATAATGTAACCTTCTGCACTGTGCCCAGCAGGTATGCAAGGCTGTCCACAGCCACTACCATTGGCTTATTATGTATTGGAGTCCTACATTCAGTAAATAATTTACTGCAGGAAGCCATACTCACCAGTTATTGAGACAGTGTAGTGAATCTGAATGATGAAAATTCAACTGCTTAAAAATTTGGTAGAATATAGTGACTAAACCATCAGTTCCCAACACAACTTCTTTAGGAATAAGTTCTAGTGAAGACACTAGAATTTACTTTTGAGTCTGCAGGTTCAGATGAGTTGGGCTTCATAACTGTAATCAAGGAAACACCAAATTACAAATGACAATCCAACTTTTTAATGAGCTCTGTGACATGGGGATACCCTTCTCTATCCTAGTGTCTTCCATATGTGCTGGACTACCACTCCCTGAGTCCCTGGAGGGAATGAAATTTAACAGTCTCAGCATAGTTCCATCAAGATGGAAAATGCTTCCTTATAGATAACTCTGAATGTTCCTATAGTTCTCAAGAACTTGCATTTTATTGTAGCAAAATATTATAGCTTTGATATTCTACAGAAATAAAAACCTGGAAAAAATAAAGTCTGGAAATCAGCACACTGCTTTGCATTCCCCAAGACTATGCCACCTTTTCCCTTCTTCCTCAGTCCTTTATGGACTTTTTTTTTTAAATGCAGCTGAAGTAGAGCTGACATATTACGCGTGCACACTTGACTTGTGTAATTCAATCCTCTTATAAAATGTTGGGGCCAACAACAAATCCATCCTTGGTTTTCCATACTTGTATGCCTTTTAAAGAAGAACCTGTCAGCTGTAGCCCACGTTCTCTTCACAGCTGGCTTCCAGATGGAGGAGAAACTGCCAGGAACAAATTGGTTTCTATCCTATTTGCTTCCTGAAGTTTTCTCCTTCTTCCCAGGATGGCTTTTAGTCTGGAATGTTTCTAATCTTCTATGCAGTTGCTGGTGATAACAAAATGATAAAACTATAAATAGAACTTGAACCCTCCCCTTTTATTCTGTCCTAAATTTGCAAGCCAGATAGATAAGCTCTTGATTAGAGTTTAAGTATTTAGACTAGCATTCACCAATTTGGCATCCTCTAAAAATGTTGGGACTACAGTCCACTGGATTCCCAGCCATCATGACCACTGGGAATTCTGGAGAACATCATCCCTACACCTTGGGAGGTTGCCAGGTTAGTCAATAGGGCTATACTTTTTCAATATATTACTCACTTCTGTCAGTGGCACTTCTGTGCCACTGTTAGATGATAACCTGTGTGACATGTACATGCAACTTCATCAGAAAAAAAATAAGTTTTTGTCTACAGAATGTTTGTTTTGACTTGCATGCCTTTTGTTGAGTAATTCATGATTAAAATTAATTTGTTTAAATGGAGAGGTGATATCACCCCTAGCTGAAGAATGGTTTAGACAAGGAAATATGGGGTGAGGAGTAGGGAGTTGTCTGAATTCAGCGTATGTTTTCTGCCTTCCTTAGGAAGTGACTCCAGACAGAGAGAAGGAAATAAACCGGCTCTCCATCTTTCCCTTCCCGCCATGTGCGGGTTCTATACTACGACGGCAACGTGAAGATAGGCCAACTCCTGTCAAGAGGTAATTGGAATATGCTGTAGTATGCTGTAAAGAAATTTCTCTTGGTTGCTTTCCTGAAGCTTGGGCTTGTCCCTTCGGAAGAGCTAAAGAATTTTTCTTGCTGCAGAACATGCTTTGACATTAATGTATGATTGAAAGAGGAGAATTGGAAGTAGGATATTGTACCTCAAGCATATAGAGTTTCAGTGTTATCATGAATTCTGGTTTGACTCCCTGTGACTTACTTTAATTCAGATTGTCAAATGTTTGGTAGAAACTCGAGATATTCTTTCAGTGCTGAATTTGAACAGTCCAATCTCTCCTCTTTCTCAAGGCTCTCATCACTGCCAGTCCATCAGTTTTCTGTGTGGGGGGTGAAAACTTTTATCTTCAGGAAATGGAATGAAAGGAGTCAATAATGGCAGAGAGCAGAAGTAGGCCAGGTGAGAGACAGGAACACCTTAAATTCTAACCTGCTCCCCAGATATTTTAACCATTCTGTTTTGGTGTTCCAAATAAGAGATTTTAGACTCTAGGATGAATGAGAGAAACAAAGTGGTAATGGGGTTACCCTGTTCTGGTTAAAAAAAGAAACTGAAAAGGGCAATTTATTGATATAGATAATATGATAATATGGTGGAGAATTAATGAAGGCTGGAAAGGAATTTCCCACTATTTTATACGTCCTCTGAATTGTTTGAAGAAATGAAAGGATATTAATACAAGAGATTTGATTTTGATATTTGTAAGAATCTGAAATAATGTTTCTCCCCCACTGTGTTCTGTATTTTTTTCTGTGTCTTCAGTTGGTCTTATGGGTCCTTTGGTAGCATGGAAGACTTAACAGGTATTGCTAGTAATGATTTCCTATTAAACATTTTCATCTTGAAAGCTGCATGAGGGAATATTGGGGTGGGGAGAGAAGAGACTTCCCTCTTATAAAATCACCTGTGCATCCACTAGGGGGCACACTTGCCCCATGCTTGGGTTGCTAGCTCTGGGTTAGCCATCCAGGGGTTCACTGGTCTCATGCATGCGTGCTCGGCTCTCAAGTTATTCCTGTTTGGTATGCTTAATTTACTGGGGGGGTTATTAGACAATGAATTTGATTCAGATTCAGAAGAGTAGAAGCTGGAAAAGATGAATGCTTCAGCTTCCGGCTGTTATCGGTTCTTGGTGACAGGCTGTAAATCTCTAGAGTCTGTCTCACTGTATATCGTGAGATGGGCTTGTTTTGTGGCATTTACTACCAAGGCACCTAGCAGGAAGATTGGCATTTAGGATGATCCTGTCTGGAGTTTTGCATTTAGTTGTTAATACGCAGAAGGTTTGCCCAGAACCCAATCAACCAGTACCCAAATTCAGTACAAGCTTCTCTGTTGACTCCATGAATGGGCATTCCCAGTCCTGATTTTTAAAGAAATACTGGGGTCCTTTAAAGAGGTCATTTTTACTCCATGACTTGCTTTCTTGGGAGGCTGATATCACATGGAGGGACCCAAACTTGTAGGTGGGGAAGTCCTTTTCCGAGTCCCACCCATCCTGTGGCACAGTAGCCTTGCAAAGGAAAGAGTCCTTCAGTTTGGGTTTTTCTTCCCATATTTATGTCAGTGTTTTTTCTCACCTGAATCTCCCCAGCACTCTAATGATGAATCTGTTGATACTGCCCATAGGAACTTGTTCTCCATCTTTCTCCCCATCAGGAAGTACCACCACCACCACCACAGTCTCTTCTGCCAGATCACCTTCCTCTTCCAGCAGTGCACATACCAGGACAAAATCAGAAGTCTGCTTGTCCAGTGATTCTGATCAACAAAAGTTTGCCAGAAGGTCTGTTTGCCTTCATATACCCTCCCCCCCTTAATTTCTAGAGACAGCTTTATTAATGCACGTGTCATAGATAATAGGATTGTCCTACGTCATGAAAGATCAGATGTCAGCTGCAACCTATAGCACTATTTCTGCTGCTACTACTACCTTCTACTCCCTTGCCAGTTCAGACCAGTAGGGAAGCTGCTGCATAATGATAATGGCTCTTCCAGCTATTAGATATAGTCTTTTCCTTTTTAGGAAATCGAAATCCAGATTTGCTATTATCTTTCATACTTTAAGATATTTTCTTACTACCCTGCAATATACTTCTGTAGGGCAGTTCACATTAAAAAGGAAAGAAAATACAGCCTCCCACCATTCATTAACATACAAATTATATCAGATCCAAAGAATTTCAACAAAACAAAGCAGATCCTGCCTTGTTGATAGGTAAAATACAGCTTTTATTGATCTTGCATCTTCCAAATGCAGTCTAACATAGGGACTGCAACTCTCATATTCCCCAATAGACATGGTAGCTGGGGGTGATGGGAATAGTGGTCTAGTACATCCTAATGCCAGATTGTGAAAAGCTGGAAAAGTTCCAGCTTAAGTCTAGCAAAAATCTTTTTTCCACAAGAAATGGAGGCTATTACCCAAGGTGCTGGGGACCTGCTGGCAGCTGAGACTAGGTAGACCTGTGAAACAAGGACCATTGTGTTAAGACAAAAATTCTAAATATGGGATTACACTGCATTATAGACAATGCCTTGTCTCCCTAGGATTAGAATCTCTAGCAGTGAGATGAATTTAGTTATTGCACATCTCTTCAGATGAACACTCTGCAGTAGCTGTAGAAAATCTAGGCTTGCATGGTTCATCTGAGCTTGATGCATGATAGAAACTAGAGCATTTTACTTAGAATGGCTCCATTGTTCTTATAAGGCAGAACTGATATCCATCCTCCAATCATCTCTCCATTTATACAGAGGCCAGAATCTAAATCCCTATAATTGTTTGCTTTTCTTTTCAGATTGGTTATGGTGCATTTGTCTAACACAAGTCCCCTAAGTGTTCCAGCACCCCAAAGCAGAGGACTGACTGGAGACATTTCCATCCTTGGAGGAAATAGAACTGGAATTTATGTCCAGTGGGTGAAACCAGGCTCAGAAGCTGAGAATGCAGGACTACGAGAGGGATGTCGGCTCCTAGAAGTATGAACAAAACTCTGGAATTATGACTAATTTCTATGAAGGAAGAGTTGGATAAGAAAGGGAGAAACACTAAGTCTTGGATACTAATGAAATGGCATTCATTTATTTCAGTTCCACTCAACATATAACTAATATTTCCATATACAACTTTAAAATACTCTTTTCAACATTCCCTCACTTTCAGTTAATCTTAAGTCATTTCATCACTTTTATTTTTAATCTCATTCAGCAAGATGAGGCTCCTTGTCTTGTTCCCCCCCCCCCATTCCCAGAACGTTCTTTAAAATTTCCATAAAAACTGCTCTACATTTTCTTCATAACTATTCCTTGTTCTCTTTTATTCCATTATTTGCCATAAATACTGTTATCTCATTCTTATTTTTGCAGCAGCAATCATTTTCTTATGTGGACTTTTCTTCCTCATCCACAAACTCACTTCATCATTCCACCAAGCATCCGTTCTGTACTCCCCATTAGCGTATCTTCACACACTTCCGTAGTCCTCAGTAACATAATTCCTTTCACTCTGTTCCAGGCATCTTCCACATCCTCTTAACTTACATCTACTTTCCATTCATTCTCTTGGAATATTAATCTGTTCTCTCATACTTTTTCATACAGGGGTCATACTTCCTTTTCTTGCAGACATTCTAGTTTCAGACTTATACCTTTCATGGCTTTCTTTTTCTTCCATGACAATTTTATTCCCAAGATTTACTCTTGACAGCCAAAAAAATCTGTCCCATGTTCAAAGTCTCTCATCACTCTTATATCCTCACTAATTCTCATCATAAAAGATGAAAATAATCATGAATTTAGATTTATATTAATACTTTTGCCATGTGTGCATGAAGAAACTTATGTTTAAATCATATTTTTGAAGCACACCTTTTTTCTGAACATACAGTTACCATTCTTATTTATTTTTCAATCTCCTGATGATCCAATCTCTTTTTATGTACTCTTTCATCTTGCTCCCATCTATCCATTCAGGTTACCTAACAGTAATTTTTATTCTGGATGCACTCATTCAGAATATTGTACAATTTCCCCCAAAGTCTTTTTCTTCCATTTTTCTTCCATTAACATAATTCACTACAACTGTCAGCAATCTATGGATTTCAACTTCCCTACACACCCACAGCAAACTACTGTAGATGAAACCAATTCATACTTTCTGACATAAATTTTAATGTTTATTGCTCTGGTTATTGCTCCAGTTCACAGTCTTTCATGTGCCATGGTTATCACCAGATTGTCCAAAGATACTGACCTCCACCACCCATCATAAGCGCAGCTGAGATGCATTTTACCCCAAGCATGTTCACACTATTCTGTACCAGTTAGGAACTCCAATCTAGAGACTACTTTGGAAATCAGCATACTGTTGCCTGCATTCTACAAGTTGGAGACATAACTTCTTGATACTTTAAAATAATATTGAATTGAATGTAACATTGTCATAAGCTTATTGATTCCTCAGAATCATCTGTTTGGCTGTTATGAAATTTGAATGCTGTACTGGATAGACCCTTGGTCTATCCAGCCAGCTGTTGTTACATTTCTAAAGCAGTTAACAAACAAAACCCTGTCTGATAGGTTAAGCATTTTTACCCCTGCATTGAAAACAGAATGCTAGAAGTTCCTTTCCAAGTTCTATCTTATGATTCTGATCATTGGACTATACCAAACATGATGGAATTGCTTGTACTTCTTACTGATTGGCCTTTTCATTGAGTAGCTAATTAAATGTTATATCTCTCAGCAACTGATTGATTTTCAGCATATGTTATAATAGCTTGAGGAACAAGAGCACAGTTAGTAATTTTTGATTCTGAACTAAATTATCTCCCGATCTCTCCCTCAGGATGGTAATATGTACAGTGGGGCAAAAAAGTATTTAGTCAGCCACCAATTGTGCAAGTTCTCCCACTTAACACGATGAGAGAGGCCTGTAATTTTCATCATAGGTATACCTCAACTATGAGAGACAAAATGGGGAAAAAAATCTCGAAAATCACATTGTCTGATTTTTAAAGAATTTATTTGCAAATCATGGTGGAAAATAAGTATTTGGTCAATATCAAAAGTTCATCTCAATACTTTGTTATATATCCTTTGTCCTTTGTTGGCAATGACAGAGGTCAAACATTTTCTGTAAGTCTTCACAAGGTTTTCACACCCTGTTGCTGGTATTTTGGCCCATTCCTCCATGCAGATCTCTAGAGCAGCAATATCAAAAGTTCATCTCAATACTTTGTTATATATCCTTTGTTGGCAATGACAGAGGTCAAACATTTTCTGTAAGTCTTCACAAGGTTTTCACACCCTGTTGCTGGTATTTTGGCCCATTCCTCCATGCAGATCTCTAGAGCAGTGAGGTTTTGGGGCTGTCACTGGGCAACACGGACTTTCAACTCCCTCCAAAGGTTTTCCATGGGGTTGAGATCTGGAGACGGGCTAGGCCACTCCAGGCCCTTGAAATCCTTCTTACAAAGCCACTCCTTTGTTGCCCGGGTGGTGTGTTTGGGATCATTGTCATGCTGAAACCACGTTTCATCTTCAACCATTGTCATGCACCCAGCCACGTTTCATCTTCAAC